CTTGTCTTGTAGTAATTTGTGTATATGGTAGGGTAATTAATTGCCAAGGAATCTTTTTTGCCTTGGTAAAGGAAAGGTTGCTTACTCCCTTTACTCTACCTACTTGTCTTGTAGTAATTTGTGTATATGGTAGGGTAATTAATTGCCTAAATCTGTCAGTGACTGATAGTTATTGTATTGATATTGGTTTTTGTGAAAAAAGGAAAATTTCTGCACTAAGATCTTTATAGTTGAGGTTACTTAGTTGTATTGTCTTGGTAATTAGGGAGTGGAAGAGCTGATACAAGCATGTTTCCTGAAGTTGATAGCACTTGGAAGGTATGTAAGAAAATCCGTCTTTTATTAGGCACTGTCTTATAGTTAACTAAAATAGTCTAATAATCATTTTGCGATGTTTAGTATGCTATGTTTTCTCATAATACATAGTAATATTGTGCTCTTTGATGAAACCTGAAAGCTCATAATACGTGGTAATATTGATGAAATCCTGAGGTGCTGCAAAATGTAATCCTTACTGAAGTCAATTATTTTTTATTATACATAAGAAAATCCTTTGAATACAAAAGAGGGGATTTGTATTCTATATGTTTCTTTTGCTTTTCATGAGGTTAGCATTTATTTAGACTCGCTTTTTCAATAACCCAATTTCATATTTCCTACCTACACTGGCCAAAAGTGGAGTTGTAACAGCATTGCCCTGTATGCATACCTGAGAGAAATGTTTACTGACTCTTCAATGGTGGTTAAATCCTACAAGTTAAAATTTTCAAGCATGGGAATCTGACATAGTAGTGGGTATAACAATTCAGCCGAGATATTCAGGATTTGGATTGAGGGCTATTATGGGTATAACAGTGGGCTTTGCTGTTATGTATTTACTGTGTTATGGGTTCATATATATATATATATAATTTGATGTTCATGTATGATAATTGTGATTTTTCCTATAACAGGTAATGCCAGTGCTGTCCTTGGTTTGTTTCTGCTCCTGACATTTGTACTTTCTATTGGTGGTGTCCTGAATTAACACTTTCAGCTTTATTATTTCTTCATTTAGAAAGTTATGAAAGAGTTATTAAGAACTTATAAGCTAGAAGGACATTTTTTATTGGTATTAGATGACTAAAGAGGGGCATTAGGACAGAGCACCTTTGATAGGTATGAAAGGGTCTATTTTAGGTAATCACATTATCCACAATAATGGTGTATACAGTTAACAATGTCGGAGTACAGGCCAATAACCCATACAGGAACTATAATGTAGTGCTGGTCCTTTTATGGGTGGCTGTGTTTAAAGAGCACCAACATTTTTTGGTGCCTAACACTAATTCCATGTAGGCAGAGTTCATCCTTTGGAAAATGCTGAACAGGAACAGTGTTTGACAGTTTATTTTATATGTTATGTATCCTAAAAATAAGTTAATTCACATATGTTTGCAAAATTGAAGTAATGTCTTTGCTGATATATAAATAGCTCGGCGATAATGGTTGCTGGCGGTAACGCTCTCTAACTGGAATTCCTATGCTCACATTGGGATTCATCCTCCCCTGTTGATTATGGAAGGAACCTCTTGCAGGAGGTATGGACGGAAGAGGGGAGGTGGTCATTTGCAGGGACAGTTCTTGAGGCCCGCTGTTCAGTCGGCTTCCTCCTACGCTGAAGCAGCTTGAAAGAACTCTTGGACAAAAGAAGGGGTAGCTTCTATTAAGGCTAGATCGAGCAGTTTCTTCATTGCGTAGAAGGTACCTCTCAACTGTTGAACTTCCTAAAATCTTGTCTGGTGGGCATAGTCATTGTCAATAATTGCACAGCAAGCGAAATCCAACGTTGGGTAACAAAAATGGTGAACGTTCCCTTCGGGGTGTGTGAGGCAAATTTCCTCCAACAAATTTCTTTCTATTCTTCCCTCTGAATCAGAGGCCTTGTGAATCTAGAAAGTCGGAGCCCGGAATTTGTTTGGTGAACTCCATCTTGAACTATGGGACCCTAAGCTGGGTAGCTGGGATCTTGGTAAAGAGGAGCTTCGTGAATACTAGTTTAAGATTGTTGGCCTCCCACTTCACCTCTGGTCGGAGAACCTGATTAGGAAGATAGGGGACCTTTGTGGTGGGTTTGTGGAGATAGACAACTCAAAAGTAGCGAAAAACATGGTGGAATGGATCCGAGTAAAAGCTATTTGGCAAGGTCCTCCTCCATCAGTAGCCAATGTCATTGATGGGGAAGACACCTGGTCAATGGCTCTTTGGCCTACGTTAGGTCCTGAGCTACGAATAGGTGCAGGCTCATTAGAGCTAGTAGATGTTGAGCACAATTGGATTTTGATGATGTTGAAGGGTCAAGATACCTCAGATCTGGTTACTTTGGCGCTCAAAAGGAAGGGGATTAAGGATGGTAAGAAGCCAGTTGAGGTTGCTGAACCGACGGCTAGCTCATCGGAGAAGATGACCACTGAGAAAGATTCTCTGACTGGAGTCTGGGAACCCCCCTTCCCCCCCTCCACCAGTCCACCCACTGCGTGGTACATGCGTTAGAAGATGAGGGTTGTGTCAGAAGACCTGATCTGGGCAGTTTTTTTTCTAACCTTTGCTAGAGGGCCTTGACAGTGGACAGTCCAAGAGACTTTGAGCTTCAAATTTCAAATTTTGAATCTATTTTGAACTCAAAGATTGAAAAGGAGGTGGCCAACCAATTGAACAAGTGGCAGAAGAACTTGCCCAAGCCCACTCGCAACTACAGGTGGTGCCCTACTCGAAAGGTTTCTTGACGAGTCCCTCACAAGGCCAATCGTGGTGCAAGACCTGCAGAGCAACTGACCCCCTCCCCCC